GGACGACAGGGGCGGGGGGAGATGTCGGGGGCGGCGAGGCGGCGACTGCGCTGGCCGGCGACGATACGCCCGTCGTCTCTGGAGGAGGGTCCGGCGTGCTCATGGTCTCTCGCCGGAGAGCGAAGGCCTCGATGAGCCCTCCCTTGCCGTCCTGCTTGATCTGCAGGCTGACCCACAGCTTGCCCGCAGACGCGGCCCAGTCGATGGCCATCCTGAAGGTCTTGGAGGCGTCGGGCACTCGCAGCTCCTCCAGCTGGCCGTCCTCGTCAGAAGCGCCAAGCGACTCCTTGAGAGCGTCAGAGCTCTCCTCCATGGCCCGCACGAGGTCTCGCCGCGTGGACGACTGGTCCACCTCCACCCATGTGTGGGATGATGAGCTGCTGGTGGGTGTGGGGTTGTGCCGGTCCTGCCAGTGGGCGAGGGCAGTGAGCATCTGGCAAGCCTCCCCGTCCAGGGGTGTCCCCCCCTCGCATTGCGTGGGTGAGATGCTGAAGACGTGGCCCAGGTACCACTGCTCCTCGTCGGACGAAGCACCACCACCACGGCTGCTCAGCAGCTCCCGCACGCCCACCGTCCGTCCTTTGGGCCCTCCTGTATGCTTGGCGGCCTTGCGGTTCGCGGCCGCAGAGCCTGTGGCGGGCCGAGAAGACGATGACGTCGGCAGAGTGGTGCTGTTCGTGGCGGGTGGGTGCGTCTGCGAGAGGGCCGCCTGGTGGAGTGACGAGTGGGGGGACTGCGCTGCCGTGGACCTGGTTGTCATGGCAGATGCCGACACTGGGGTTGCGACGGCCGATGAGCCCTCGCTGGGGTCCTTCTTGGGTTTGTTGGCCTTCTTGCCCCGACCCCGCTGCACCACCGCCTCCCACTCCCCGCCCTCATCCTCCCCGGACTGATCCGCACTCACAGATGCCAGGGACAGCTGCAGGGGATCCTCACCCTCATCATGACGACTGGCAGATGGCGCAGTTGCGGGCAGCTCTCCCCGGTCCGACGGCTCGTCGTCCTCTGTGTCAGCGGCGGCCTGTGTGTCGGCAGTGGTGTTGATGTCGCGTGACTGCCCGCTGCTGCCCGTGCCGCCCTTGCGCCTCCCCGGCTTGTCCTTGCCCTTCTTGCCGCCATGGTGAGGGTGCTGTGCCGCCCCCCGCCCCCTGGCTGCCTCGTCCTGACGGATGAGCTCGGCCATGAGTTTGTCGGCTTTGGCCGCAGACAGGGGGGGCTTGTCGGGCTGGCCCGCCTTGTCGTCTCCAGTCTGGTCGGCCTTCTGCTGCCGCTCCTTCTGCCGCTCCCGCCGCTTGAGCATTTCCTCGCCGATGGGCTGCTTCTGCTTCTTTCCTCCGTCGTCGGGGAAGACGTCGTCGATCGACCTGAATGTGTTGCTGAGGGAGGTGCAGTGTTCGGCGAGCAGCAGGATGGTGGGCTTGTAGGTCTGCAGGAAGGTATTGCGCTCCTTCACTGCAGACATGGTCGAGATGACACGGCACGGCAGACAGAGGGGAACATAGAGCCATGGATCCATCCGTCCATTCGTGGAGGTCATGTCATCTATCTCCCTCCCTTACTGATTTGCTCTTGCTCCTTTTGCAGGGTCACGAGGTTGTCGACTGCCTTCTTGAGCATCTCCTCGATCCGGCTGTCGGGGCCGCTCTCGCCCCCCTTCTGCTTGATCTTCGCTATCAGGACCTTCTGATTCTCTGCACACACACACGGGGATTCTCAGCAGTCCCGCAATCCCATCCCGTCTGTCTGTCTGTCTGTCTGGTCCCTCAACCAGTTCTTTCTTACGTTGCTTCTTCTCGCACTCCAAGATCCTCACGGTGAAGGGGAGCTGCACACACACATACATGCATCCACGACAGATGAGACGACACACGCCCAGCCATCCATCCATCCATCCATCCATGTGTGTGGTGGTCATGTCACCCACCACTTGCTGTGAGTCGCTGAGGGGGTGACCTCGAAAAAAGCCAGCATGGAACAATCTGCTGTGTTTCACCAGCTGCTCGCGCTTCTCGTCAGAGGCAGCGGCCGTCTTCTTGACGAACATCCTGTGGGCGCGCACCCTCAGGCAGTCGTGGATGATAGCAGCGAGCTGCACACCGCACCCACCAACACACACACACACAGACACAATAAGCGATCCACCCACCCTTGCTTGCTTCCTTCCTTGCTTGCTTTGCAAAGCAAGTGTTTTGACGGCCCGGCCCCCATTTCGCACCGCACCGTGTTGATTTGTGTGAGGGCATGCAAGACGGTGTTGCAGATGTTCTGTGCCTTTTCGGTGTCGGTTGTCCTCGCCAGGATGCTGGGGGTGCCGGTGGGCTTCATCATGAGGTCTTGCAGGAGCTCCCCGATCCACTCGGTCAGCTTGTCCCCCCTCTGGAAGTGCGTCATCGACTCACTCTGCTTGGCCGTCATGCCGAAGCTCTGCATCGCCCTGTGCATGGCCATTTGGCCGAGGGTGTCGACCGCCATGGGCATGTAGAACTCCAGACGCAGCACCACATACGGCATCCCCAGCATCAGCACACGGTCGGCCTCGTAGCCCGGAATGTGGGGGATGCTCACGTATGTGCCCATCCGGTCGATCTGCGACACGCACTCCCGGCACATGGTCACGATCACCTCGTCGCAAATCCGCCGAATGCGGTCGACGTCGACCTGCTTGTCGTCCTTGCCCTTGGCTGCCGGCCCCTTGCTGGCCTTGCCCTTCTTCCTGCCATCCCCCCCGCCATCCACTGGCTTGTCGGCCCCACCACGATCTTTGGCGCTGGCAGCTGAGGCGGATGAAGGCTGCTCGGGTGGTGGTGGTGCTGCGGGCCCCCCACCACCCTGTCTGTGGCGGCGCCTCATTGTGATGACCGATGCGATCTTGTTGGCCTGGTGGCAGAAGTCCTTCTCGACGAAGGGCAGGAGGTTGTCGCCGCACAGCCAGTGCTTCTCCAGCTGGACGGCCTTGTCCAAGGAGGGGGCGAGTTTGTCGAAGCCATTGATGCTGATGCACACCCGCCCCCCCTCGTGCGCATTGGCCCTCTCGATGATGAGCTTCATGACATTCAAGGGGTCGGTCTCCTCCGATGATTGCTCCGGCGATTGCTCGTCGCCCTGGTCGCTCTCGGCGTCCAGCCACTCGCTGTCGGCGTCTCTCGCCTCGGCCACGAGAATCACGTTAGTGCGCTTCTCTTGCTCGGGCGATGCGAAGAGCACGATTCTGCCTGTGTCCGTCAATGGGAAGGCGGGGCGGTCACGCGTCAAGGGGAACACGTGGCTCGGCAGCCGAACGCCCTCGGCCTCCATCACAGCTAGCACCCTCACCCAGGCGTACAGCTGCACCAGCGTTGCCGCGCCGCTCATCAGCAGCGACCGGTGCAGCACGGCCGTGAACTTGACGACCATGTCGACGGACACGGGGCAGATGCGGCACATGTCGGGCCGGGCCATGCAGCAGAGGACATTCGACACGACGGCAGCGTTCTGTGCGAGCCACCGCACCTGGTCATCCGACGGGCTGACGGAGGCGACGGCGGCGGGGTCGCAGCTCACATGGACATCTTGCCCCTCCACCTCGGCCGACGCACCGGTGCTGCTGGGCCACCCTCCCAAAATGTGGGGCATCGAGGTCACCGCGGTTTCGAAGACGCGCTGGATCAGCTGGAAGACCTCAGAGGGGCATTTTGTCAGGTCGAACATGTCCTGTCTTGGGTCGCCAGGGGCCATGCTCATCCCCGAGCCCTCAAGGGCGGCCCCGAATCGCTCGATGCCCCCTTGCATGAAGCTGAGGACGCGCATCACACGCTTCGGGACGGCACTGAGCGCCGCTCGGTCCACCATGCGCTTGCGAATGGCGTCGCAGAGACCGGGGTCAATGACGACTGCGGGGAGGGAAGGCAATGCAATCACACACACACGCACACACACACACACACAGAGTCGTTGGGTTCATAGAGAGATCATTACGTACATGGCAGTTCACTGGCAAGCCACTTCTGCAGAGGCACATCAGCATCTCGGAACTGCTCACACGTCCTGCATCAACCAGACATTCAGCCAAACACCACCCAGACAGACAAGCACAAATGAAGTCAGTGCGTGGCGTGTGGCGTGTGGCGTGTGGTGTGTGGCGTGAGGGCGAGAGACCACACACATGATGATGTGTCCCTCTCCTCCCCTCCGTCCCTTCCTCCCTGCAGCCAGGCAGGCTTACCGTTTGGCCGCACTCTCCATCACCCCGAGGAAGTAAGGATCTTGCCGCAGCGACTCCAAGATCATCTTGGGCTTTGCGAACACCAACGGCGGGGGCACATCGCGCCTGGGGTTGGCAGCGTCGCAGTCGACGTCCATGAGGGCCGCCAGGTGGCAAGGCTCGACATAGAATGAGTGGCCGCACATCTCTGGGTCGGCCGCCTTGACACGCTCAGCCAGGTTGACGAAGAAAAGCTCCTTGGTGATATCGGCAGACACACGACGCTCGCTCTCCTTCTCCGCCATCCGCCGCAGGACGTGTTCAAACTCATCGTCACAATCGTCGTCTGCCGACATGAGTGATATAAACAGATGAAGGGAGGGGAGGGATCTCACAACTGCTTCCACAGGGGAGCCGGGCGGCCGCCTCTGCACAAGCCGCTCAGACGAAGGCGAAAAGCAAACGAATCATTTGGATCCACGCGACAGGACGGACATCTTCAGATAGATGCCCCTGCTCCCCCTCTTCCTGCAGCGAAGCATGCAAAAAGTTGCGAGCTTTGCATGAAAGGAGAGCGTCGTAGCGTAGCGGACCGCATCATCCCACGGATGCCGGCATGAGCACCCCTCAAGCAACAGCAACTAACAGACCCGCAAGAATCTCCAGGACCCCGATGGAGCCTCCCTCTGAGACGACCTCTCTGCAGCCGCTGTACCGATGCATCCTGCAGTGGAACCAGCGGATGCACCACCCGCCAAGGTCGGTTCGGTCACCTACCGACCAGTGCATGCACTGCATCCCGATCCGTACTGGCAGATAGATAACATAGACAGAGGTGCTCATACATGGATTGTGGTTTCCTGCCCTGTCAGGCATCCGCGGCCCACCTCCTCGGCACCCAGACCGTTCGGTCGGTCCTCACAGAGCCATTCGGTTTCCGCGCGGCCTCGCTCTGTGGACACGATGCGCCCCCGAGCATCTCACCATCGGCCTGAGGCAGCTGGCGCAGATGACAAGCTGCCCTTGGCCTCTCGTGAGGCCCCTATCCAAGCGCCGACCGGAGTGGTCCACGGCATTACTGCGGAGCCGACGCCCGGCGATGCTGATCAGCAGATGGTGCTGGCTGGCCCACCTGCCCATGCTCGCGAACGCAGTCTGTCACCCAAGCCCTGGCGCGAGATGCAGCGATTGCGGGACAGAATGCCCGTGACAGCGATGAGACCGCCGAGCTCACACAGGGAGCAGCGCAGTGGCGTCCCGAGAAGGCCGCTCCCTCCGCCCTCTAGCCAGCACAAGGCCGCTGGTGCCCGCAGTGTCGGCCACCAGTCCGCTTCCCTGTCGGTCTGGCGGTTCCAGAGCGGCACAGCGCCAGCACGGCTCCCCCGGCCAGTGTCGGACCCATCGCACTCAAAACAGCCCAAGCAGCCGCCGCCAGTGCGGAAGGCCGAGAAAGCGGCTGAGCGACCTTCTGTTGGTGCAGTAGCGGCGCAGCAGGGTGGCCGTGTTGAGAGGGGGGAGGAGAGGGTGGATGGGGATTTGGTTGCTGAGGAAGCCGGAGGGCGTAGCAGCGGGTTTGTCGAGCAGACGAGTGGTGTAGATGTGGGGGCCCCCTCGTTCCGCATCGATGCTCTTCCTGATACTCTGCCGGAGGACACGGCAGCGGAGCGGTTCCATTTGCAGGAGCTGAGACAGGAGCCCGCCAGGCGAGGGCTCCTACCGACATCAGGGCTGCCGCATCGCAGGAAAGGCCCTCCGCCTGACTTCCCTGAGCGGCAGAGTGCCCTTGAGATGCTGGCCTACCTCAAGAGCCTTGATGCGGTGACGCAGAAGGGACGGCCTGCTCCTGCTGCTGCCCCTACTGCTGGTCACCGTGCGATTGGCGATCGTCCGTCGAGGAGTTTGGCTCTGGCGGGTCTGGTGCCGGTGACGCGGGAAGGGTTGGTGGGCGGTGTGTCTGAGGGTGAGGGCGGCCCGATGCCCCAGCGACGGGCACGGATATCAAAGAAGACCGCCGAGGCATCTCTCGCATACAGGTGGGCACTTTCCTACACAAGGGGCGGGGCGTCAAAGTGTGTGCCACTCGTCATCCATCGCCTTGTGTCATCAGGTCTGACTACAGCCGTCGTGTAGATGAGCGTGAGGGTCGCTTTGACGTGTCGGACTTCGGCACTTGGCACTTCGGAGAGACTCTCGCGGACAACCTGGCTGACAAGGCCATCGATGGTCAGTGGACTAGCCAAGTCACTTCACATATAGCCTCACAAGGTGCGGGCATGTTTCCTTGTGCGGCTGTGTGGGGTGTGTGTGCTGCAGCGGTGTTGGCTGAGTTTGAGGATCGCTTGCTGGACGCCTATGTCGCCAAATTCATCGACGAAGAGGTGAATGCGGCCACGAGTGTGACGAGTGTGCCGGGACTTCGGGCAGGCCCTGCGGACTCAGACCGGCTGAATTAGACAAGACACTTAGACAGACAGACAGACCCTGCTCGCGTGACATTTGTACTTACGCATGTACGTGCGGAAGACGTTTCGTGTGGGCTCGATCAATCAATCAACATGTGTGCGCGGATGTCATTAATTTCTTGGCGGTCGTGTCCACCGCCAGTCCGTTCAGACATTCACATGGATACACACAGTGGACTCACTCACGCCCATCCATCGCTCCGTGTGTCTGTCTGTCTGTGTCGGTCTGCGTCGGTCTGCGATCGATCCCTCCCTCCCTGTCGGTCTGTCGGCCTGTCGTGTCTGTGTCGTGTCGGTCTGTCTTGCGTCCATCAGTCAGTCAGTCAGTTGAGTCGTCGCTGTCGTGGTGTGGTGTGTATGCCCAGGCGACGAGTGGCTGGGGGAAGTGGAAAGAGGCGAAGCCCGGCGAGCCGTCAGGTCGGTGGGTGTAGGCGCGGAGAGCGATCTGCAGCAATACATAGCGAACGAAAGGGGCCTGGTCTGCATCTCGATATCTCCCTCTCATCGTGCGGTGCGGTGCGGTGCGAGGAGAGCTTATAAGTCTTGTCTTGCCTGATTTGGATTCCAGTCGCTCGTGATGCAACACGCGCCGATGTGGTACTCGAGGTACGCATACTCTGCCACACACACACACACCGGAGAGACACACACATTTAGGGATGGATGGATGGATATCTCTGTCTGTGTCTCCCTCCCTCTCACCGTCGAGCGCTCTTTCGTGCAGCTTGATGACCTCACGCGCACACATAGCCAGCTCGTCCTTTTGATGCGATGAAACACAGAGAGAGAGGGAGCGGTGTGGTGTGGTGTATGTCTATGTGTCTCTGTGTGGCCCCCACTGACTCTCGTGTGTTTGGTGACTGTCGTCAGCTCGTCGGTCCACTCCCGGCCCAGCAGCTGCACACAAACATGGTGGCCCATGTCTTGGTGCCCGTCCCGTGTGTGTGCAAGCAGGCAGTTAGGCAGGCAGGCAGACCAGCAGGACGAGCAGAGTGCACGAGGCGGCGAGTGTGCTGAGGAAAAAGTCGAGGTGAAGGCCCTCAATCAACGACATCTCCAACAGGTACACACCAACTGCACAAACATACACACGCACACACATGGAGGGCGTCTCTCTCTCTCTCTCTCTGTGTGTGTGTGTGTGTGCCTGTTTTGGGGCAGCCTTGGGGGTGTTCGGCTGTGATGCCACCGACCTTTCAGACCCCCCCCCCCCCCCCCCCC